CATTCTGAATAAATATAAAAATTGAAATAAATTAAATTCGGCATTGTATCTGGTAAACAATATTCTCGAATGAAATTGGCATCAATAAAAAATTTCCATATTTTTTGACATCTCGTTTCAATTAGTTTATCACTTTCAAGATGAAGTCAAAGTTTTTCAATATGATTTAAATTGTTGAGAAGTCATTTCAAATAAACAAATTGTAAATCTTCGTAAATGGAAGTTTGTAAACTTAAATATCGTAGTTTTGGTACCTAAAAAAGGTCTCAATTGTTTTTATTAGTCAAAAGCAAAAACTATCTTGACAAAATTCATAAAATAAAAAAAAGATGATTTTTCTTACTTTATTAGACCAATTTCTATTTGATTTTCTCAGCATTTCAACATGCGATTTCCATAATGGATCTAATCTCAATGAAGAATCAAACTGAACTAACATTTGTTCGAGATTGGGTACATGTTTGATAATATTTTCCCAAAAACATGTATATTTAAGTTGAATAAATAAACGACGAAGAGTCATAGAACAAGATTGAGGTTGACATCGCATAAAATTCGAAGATAGATGAGAATTTGATGTTAAACATCGATGAATATTACCATCCATTAGTTCATTGCTAATATCAAGTCGAAGAGTTGTTAATTGACATTGAACAGAGAATAATTGACAAAGAAATTGTTTGAGTATGATCATTTGTTTTTCTGTTATATGTCAAAGAAAAACAAAGGAAAGAAATATTCTATTATGAAAAAGAAAAATATTCGCGTTTAAGACAGAATCTTCTCACTTTCCAAATTATAAACAATATTTAAAACAGAAAAAAACTTTTTTTTCATTTTAGATTTCACAAAATAAAACTCATGTTTATAAAATGTTATCTTTTTTTGATTGATCAAAGTATCGAACGTTAAGAATAAGTATAGAAATAAATTTTAATCTGGACTAAAATCCGCCTTAGATCTGCATCTCCGGAACTTTTTCATGTCGCCCACTTGACGGATGTGACTACATTAGAGAAGTTTTGACAGATAACAGTCATAAATATTTTTTCCGCAAGTTGCATCACAAACAATGCCCGTACATATATATTGCTACTCTGTCTTTAGACCTTCGAGTGTGTCCAGTATTTCACTTTCATCATCTGTTGTCTTCTCTTCATCTAAATTTATTTTCTATTTTCTTATCTACAATCAAGATTTGGAAAAAGTCCATAACCCTTAAAAGCCGAAGGATGTTTTCTTGACACTAAAGAAAAACTGATCACTAGAATAGAGCATCTGAACCCTCGGTATGATCATGTTATAATTGTAAAAAAATATCTTTTTTTTCTTATAAAAATACAGAATGTCCCTTGAAAGACAAATCTTGTACTATTCTCAATTTATGTCAAAAGAGTTTTTTCTTTGGAATAATTTTATTTATTTGTTTGTTATTACTCAAAAAATCAATTGAAACAATATTTGACACTTTTTCAAAGTTGACACACTCTCTGTTCCAATATAAGGGTCACTTGAAATTTTTTGACCC